AAATGGTATATAATGTTTTTGAATAAGTAGTAGCGAGTAGGAAGAACTTGGTGTGGAGTAGCTTCTCCCATTGTTAACTTCCACGCGCGCATAGTTTATCTGTTGATCGGACGTGTCTATTACTCCATTACAATTTCCACGATAAGTATTGAGAGAGGGATCGTACCGGAGGAGGAAGCGTGGTGAGGGGGGAAGGGGTTATGCGGACACCGTCATCTCACTGATCCCGCTAACGATCTTCTGTAGCAAGGCACGTGCTCTCCCTATCTTGCTCTAGGGCCAGAGCGTGGATTAATGAAAGCATCTAGCTCAGTTGTGGGTGTAGAGGTGACTGGAAGGCTAATTCGCGATTCCGCAGGACCTTGTTCAATCCAGGACACTTCTACCGCGAAAGAAAGTCAAATATCGTTTGCTAATTCTTGTTTGTACTAAGGGTATTCGCCCACACTCTTATCCACATTACTAATGTATTGCCTATCATGACTGCAAGTCAGTAATTTCTCAATATTATTTTCAGGCTCTGCTCAATTTCCGAAGAAAAAGCACCGTCGGCTGGTCCATCGGCAATGTTCTGCTTGACTTCACGGGAGGATGTCTCGATATTCTTCAAATGGTTCTCCAGTGTTGGAATGTGGACGAATGGTCGGCGTTCTATGGAAATCCCGTGAAATTCGGTCTGGGCCTGGTCTCAACATCTTTCGACATCCTCTTCATCATTCAACACTACGTTCTCTACCCACACAAGACAGCAACGTCCCGAACAGATCCGGAAAAGAGCGACCGTCAAGAGATGAGTGATAGGTCGGAGACAGAAAAGTTGAGCGCCAGTGACCGACATTCGAACTCTAAGAGCACAGAAAAGAGTAGTAGCAGCCAACATGCCAGTAGTAGGTGACTGTCACCTGCATAATTGTTGCAAATCTCCTTCGTGTGAATTGTTTTAAAAAATCATTCAAAGGGTCAATCAGTAGAATAGGGAATATATATTCCATCTCTCAGCTATCTCTACGCTCATAGGCTCGTATCGATAATGACTTTGAATATTTTTTATGCTTTAAAGAGCTTCAATTTACGGTCCAGTCACTCACTTTAATTCGTATTTGATGCAATATTCACTTTCATTATTGCCATTGATCGATAGAAATAAAGAGGACATGAACACTCATGCTGAAAAATAAAAATTTGCTGTAATAACAAAAATCACCTCACCGTTGTTAACACAGCTCTCATGCTATTTTTACATCTGAAACTGCAAACGCACAGGTGATTATCGGAAACACTGGTTGACATTCTCACAGACAAGCTGTACCCTCACCTCCTGAGAAAAAAAATCACTGATTGAGTGGAGGAAGAACAGTGGCTACTAAAGGTTCGCCCTTCATCCAAATCAGCCAATATTTCCCTTTTCGAAGTCTCCAGTTTCCTAACAAAACGATTTGTTACTCGTCTTTTTTCAAACGGAGCTCGCACTCGGATCCCTCATGGGACCTAGTAGAAACAAACGAATTCCACACAATCGTACAACGCTTCCAGAGCTCCCAAGACACCGAGGGGAAAGTGAATTATGGTCCCTCAAGTGGTCACCCGTTGAGAAGTGCGAAACAACCCTCCTACTGAGGGCGGAGCGTGCATCAAGGTGGGCGGAGCGCGGAGGGCTAGGCGGAGCCTCACGAGAAATCTTCGAAACGTTCCCAGAACAGTCCCGACACCGGAGAAAGATGATCAAAGATGTGCAAGACCTCGACTATTGGAGTGAGATAGACACACCCGTTGTGGGCGGAGCTGCATCAAGGTGGGCGGAGCCAGATTAGAAAATTCGTAAAATTTTTCCGGGACTCTCCAAACACCGGGAAAAAGTGGATTAATACCAGCAGTGAGCCACCCGTTGAAAAGTGCATGGCATACCCGTTGTGGGCGGAGCTGCATCGAGGTAGGCGGAGCCACATATAAAAATTCGTAAAACGCTTCCAGAGCTCCCAAGACACCTATGAAAAAGATAATTGTGGTCCTCAAGTGGTCACCCGTTTATTGTTCAATGCGAGGCAACCCTGTTGAGGGAGCGGAGCGTGCATCGGGTGACCGCTGCGCGGAGGGTTAGGCGGAGCCTAACGGAAAATCTTCGAAGTGTTCCAGAGCAGTCCAGCCAAGGTGAGCAAAGATGTGCAAGACCTCGACTATTGAAGTGAGACAGACACGCCCATTGTGGACGAGGCAGGTGTCAAGGTGGGAGGGCAGAAGTCAGAAATCCGCGAGTTGCTTGCAGAGCAGCATACGCACCGGGAACATTTGACTGAAGTTCACAAGGAGTTAGTGGATGAAATGGGGCACACATCCTCAAGGGATGGGCGGTGCTTGCTTGCTTGCTTTACTAGGTTGTCCCAAAAGTTTCGTAGACTTTTTCTAAATCTCGCAGTCGCTGTTCTCATATGAAAAACGGTAATTGAAATTCATCATTTTCGACACACTTCGCTATATGAATCTCTACCAAGCCACAACGTGGTTGGAGCCATAAGCGGCATTTCCCTTATTTTAGATCTTGATGTTAGCTTCCACAGTACGGCTTTGGAATGGCTCAATTGCTTCTGCTTTAGTGACTTCTATCCGGGTGAAAAACTTCGTCCAAGGAGGCCACCTGCCTTGGATTTGGACCTACTGTGTTCCTTGATTAAAACCAATACGTACAAATCAACTTGCTATCTAGTCCTTACACTTGACTGGTCCCAAAGCACAAATGAGAGAGGGCCTCGCTTCCTTAGAAAAGTTCTGAAGTTCGGTCAAAATTTTTCTCATGAGTTGACCAGTACTCCAAGGGAGCACATGTGGGTACTGTCTACAACTTTTCTCCCGCTTCCGCTGTACGGACTGGTTGAACAGCACTGTAACTGGATATTGGAGTAGGTGTCTCTACCCGGGCCAGTGGTTAGATCCCTCAGAAAGGGCAGAACCGATCGCGCAATCCTATCAATCCAGTAGGATGGTGAGACTGTGTATGCGGTGGGGTTTCTTTCTCCCTTCCCATAATGGAATTTTCTTCTCAGCGCTCAGGTAACCTACGAACCCTATTGTAATCAACTGCAAAGGGGGAGGGGTTGAAAATCGCTAACATTTGGTCCCAAAACCGAGCAATGTTTGCCTACTCCACCACAGCTCAGGGTCACACATTTGGAAAACGACACTGCTCGAGATCCCGAAGCTTAGCTGGGGAATTCCACCACAGTCTTCGTGTAGCCCTGACTTAGCTCTTTCCGATCGCCATCTAAACTAATCCCACAGCGGCCATCTTCTGGGTAAAAAATACGATTTTTGATAGTACCTCAAAAATGACCCAGCTGCCTTTCGTTGCCAATGAAGGTGACATATATAGTTGATCAAAATTGCTTCCCACTGGAATAAACTTAACTCGAAAAAATGTTCGAAAGTTCCACGAACTTTTGGGACAACCTAATATTAGGTCATACCATTCAAAAGTGCCGAGACATATAGAGGAATGGCAGAAAAGCAAAGGGGATAGGGCAGTGGGCTACCTAAAGGGTGGATGAAGTCAAGCGCTGAATGTCTGATAACAGAGCTTGGACCTTTTTCGAGCTTCCCCGCGAGACTAACATTCCTGCTGCAACTGCCGCCCGAGTTATGTCCGATAAACTGAGGATGGTCAAGAGGGTGTGCGCATGGGTACGTGCCGAAACTCACAATCGTCAGTTTTGTATGAATGCAGATGAGAAGCCGCCCGAGTTCTACCATGAAGGGGGCGCAAGTGGATGATCATCATAGCAAAGGATTCCACTATGTGGCTTCAGCGGCTCTAAAATCGTAGCTATTGGTGTATATTGCCTGTTTCTCGCAATCAGATCGACAAATGGATGATACCACACAACTACAAGAAGGCCACCGTTGCTCGTCATAGTGCCAGACCCCGAGTAACTGTATTGTAGGGCAGTGCTGGGACACAAACAATACTGAGACCTGGGTTCAATCGCCCCATTCGCCCGACATAAAGCCGAGCGATTCCAATTGTTCTCGTCAGTCGAGAGTACTCTCCGACGGCAAACGCTACAATGTTTTGTCATTCGCCGAAATTGGCATCAACAGCAATTTACTCGCACTTGTTGAAAAATCGAAGGTACCAGAGGTCCAAAGCAGGTCATTGGTGAAGGAGGGATTCTACTCATCCTAAAGCTAAAATATCACTTTTCTATCTATTTTCTTCTTTGTTTTATTCGAATAAAACCATCGGCCACTTTGAATGGGATGACCTAATATAATTCGGACCTCAGCGACTTCAGAGATCAGAAAGTTGTTGGAGAAAAGAAGCATGTGGCGAAAGTTGAGTGTCTCTGTGGAGTGTAGAGATCCGCTCACAGTAGGCTGAAGGTCCCTCCACCACGAGCTGCCTGTTTTTACTGAGCCTCAGTGCATCGGCAGTCATACACTTAATCACCGGTCGTCGTGCGCACGTTCTGCACCAGTCGGCTCACCACCGACACTGGCACGTCTCCTCTGCGATGCGGCTCGGCCTTGCCGAGCGGCGCGTGACTTCGTCTCGCTCTGCTTCGTGCGCTGAATTACGACCAGTATTCGGCTTTTATCTCATCTCTGCACTTCATCAACACTCGCTACAATTCCATGTACAGTAATAGTGTTGAAAATAGAAGGTATGATGTTACTGGTAAAGGAGCGTTAGTCATCTGTTCAGATAAAAGAAAAGCCGGATATTAGTTGGGTATAAATACATGAAGAAGAAGGAGAGCGCGGCGAAGCCGGGCCATATCACAGAAGGAGGCGCGCCGGCATCAACCGGCGAGCCGATTGGTATCATAGGGTTTGGGACAGCAACATTATTGGTGGGTGACAGGAAGTGATATCAGCTGATAAGATCTGATAAGAGGCGTCAGAAAGGAGGGTCGCCGAGTCCATAGCGCGCGGGTCGCAACAACAGCGGGACGTCAGTTTCAAGGTAGATATAGGGAATGGGACAGGAACGTTATTGGTGGGTGTCAGGAACTGCGCTGTTGACAAGGTTTGGTAAGAGGAGCTGGAATGGAAAGGTCGCCATATTCATGACGAGCGACACGGCATCAGCCAGGAGTTGATTCCAGCACGTGATATAGAGGAGGAGGTGGGGACGTCGACGGCGCAGAGGGTGACAACAGCTGATAGGAGCTGGTAAGGAACGTTGCCGTTCTACTTCAGTCAAACTGGTAGAGCCTTCACACGGTGCGGGCGGCAGGCATTGTACACATGTAATGCCGAGCGGGGCGGGGAGAACAGGGATAGTGGGCGGGGAGGGGGGGGGGGAGATATAATACGTTGTTCGCCGGAAGCAGGAAACCAATCAACTTAATTTTGCATGTTTGCGCGTGGGATGGTGCGTAGTGAGTGCACCGTGCAACTAACATGGCTCATTTTACGTCAAAATTTTTCGGAATAAATGCGATTCAGCGTAACCGTGCCTGTTTGTTCAAGTGTGGCTCCACTGTTCTTCTGTACAATCTGCTAACATGGGATAGTCTTTATTTATACTTCCACTTGCCTTTATTCCTTCTCATTCCGAGAGTATCCAAGTATCACACGTTTTACTACTAGCATTCCTGGTAGTGTGGTTGGTTGATTTCCGTGTTTTCATAACTTCTGCATAGTTCGAAGTGTCGCAGTTACCAATTGGTATTTGAAAAACCTAAGGCTTTTTGTTTCTAAGGAGCGGCTCTGAAAGATAGCATCTGTAAATGTTGAAAGTTCCGGAATGTTAATGTTCCAAGCCCTCAAACCTTGAAGTTAGTTGTCACTCATGGCAGTAAGGCATGGTGACTGTGAACAATGCCTTACTGATATGTAGGCAAATCTTTTGGGTAGTTCTATCCCGAAGCATGAGCTGTCTAAAAAGGCGAAATCAGCTTA